TTTTCAATAATATTATTACAGTAACTAAGTTACTAGTTACTGCCCAACACTGATCAACACACATACTTAGATCAAATATTCTTCAACATTTTCATTTTTTGGTAACTATTCATGGACAACTAGTAATCCAGCTTGATTAACATGACGCCGTGTCTACACCGGATGCCAGCAGCGCAGTGCAACAAATACTATTCCATTATAATCAGTATGCTGTCTACACTGGATGCGGCGCGACACAACATGACAAATCCCCGATAGCAAACTGATGCCTCATTCTACGTATGGCGTACTGACAGAACGTTCAAATGATATGCAACGGTTGCTTGTCGCGTCCAGTGTAGACAGCCTCAAGCTGTTGCGGCGCAATGCGATGCAACAACTGTCGCATTCGGTGTAGACACGGTGTGAGACTTTTTTGACCAAAACCTGCGTTAATTGTTACCCTAAATATTACATTGAGAACATACCTACTGCATTTCTTGCACACCTCACATGCCTGGTCAGGTAAACAAAATGACCCCTGTTTACACTTGCACCGTGTGTTCTGGGTACTTGTGCATTTCGCTGTGGTTTCCTGATCTGCAGAAGTAATGAATGTACACAAATATAATGCAATTTACATAGAAATATGCCTAACGGAAGTCGAACATTGTGTGAACACAACATTGAATAACCTTAAAGGTTTTATGTTACAAGAATTTGCGTAAAACTAAAAGACTTGACAGTATGGGACAATACTGATTTTTCCAAATAACAGAAATACCTATACGGCACTTGCTGCATGATAAACACTTCCGCAGTCCATTGTCATGCTCAGTGTATGTGTCAAACTCGCATGGCTCACACACTCCTTTTTCTGAAACAGTAAGGCAGGCCTTTTTCACATATGTTCCTGCAAAAGATGAGACGGTGGAATGTGAGTGCACATACAAGAAGACATTGTCTAATCCGAATAAAAGGATTAAAACAATTATTATGGACCAGCAGGGCAGTGTAGGCAGCAGATGTTGTCATGTTCATACTCCATGCCCTCTCTGCAGGAAACATCTCTGCTTGATCTGTTCTTTATGGATCTTTGAGCCCAGGCCAGATCCAAGTGACTTTTAGCAGCATGTATGAGATTTAGTAACAAAAAAACCTACACACAGAAGAAACATTTAAAAAAAGGATTATATATGCAACATATACAGCTTTAAAAAAGCCTGGCTTTCTGGTCAATAATTATAGTTTGGGATGAAGTGGTGTTGGATCTTATACGGACACCTATTGTTATAAACCTTTAATTTATGTCTTAGGCATAGGTTTGTTTATATTTGTTAGAAACTAAAGACTTGGTTCCTATGGGTCTAGAGTTGAAGGTTTTGAACCTTCTCTGTATAAAGATGTTTTGGAAATGATCTTCAGTATTTAAGTACCTCAATACACAAAATAATGATCTTTAAAAAAGCATCATATGACCCCTTTAAGTAAATTCAGACTATGAACTGTCCTTTTATTTCTACCTAGGTAAATTAGATTTTATTGCCATTATATGTCAAAACACTGTATATATAATTGTCCAAATATTATTTTAATTTATAACTTTATTACATACATTTATATAATTTTGTCAGGTCAATAATTTTTGAACAAGTCATTGCCATTCCATGGTAAAACAGTCTAAAGGTTTATGAGGACCTGTATCTAGAGAGAGATAAAGTCTCTCTAAATCTAGAGATGCTGGTCTTAATATAGATTATATATTTTTAAGATCATTTTCTAATTATTTACAAGTTCAAGTTTTTTTTTCTGTAGTGCCAATTCGTCGTTTATCGCCATCGACTAGTCCAAACAAACACGTCTCAATTTAACGCGTCATGAAGCAAACTAGGGCTGCACGATTAATCGCATGCGATATTTATGGAGAGTTACCGCTGATTACAGAACCGTCTTTCTGACAAGATGCGCGTTAAATATCGCATGCGATTTATCGTGCAGCCCTAAAGCAAACTAAACTTTTAAACTTTCTCTATACCGACATTCACGGAAATATACTGTATAAAACAAATTAAATAAATATTGGATTCACTTAACTTACCAAGAAAATGTTGTATCTCATATTAGTCAAATCATCGTTTCTCCGGATTAACTGAAAGAAGGTCACGTCCAAGCACCATCCTACTGATTCCTCTGAGTATTTAGCTGTTGAAAACTTCCAGTCTTATATTATAAAAATTAGCGCTTATTTAAACCAGAACACGCAGCAAACGAAGTTACGAATGGTAAATTGCAGACCTGATGGATGGTCGAGACTTGGCTTATGAATATTAATTAGGTTTCTGGTGACGTTGTCCATTAGCGTCCAGTCCAGTTACCTAATTAATATTCATGAAGCCGTCGCTATTAAGGATTCATAAGTTCGCGAAACAACCTGGCGGGCACATGAATCGCCTGCAAGCTTCGCTTCCTGTTGAATAGCTACTTAAAATATTTCAATATTTTTTTGTACGTTCGTTTTATTTCTTAGGAGGATATTAGGGCCAGATTCTCCGTGTAAATTTTGGTGTCAGTCAAATAACCCAGTAAGTGAATCTCCGTCATCACACATCTAAATTTAGGCTGTCTCACTTTGGCGTGCTCTCTGAACGCACACGCAATCGTAATCATTATTATCAATTTCCGAAATGCAAGGGCATTTCTGTCAGTTTGGCGCTATCTAGCAGACAGTTGACTGTGACAGTGCGATACTATGACTGTTGAGTGACAGTGTGTAAAACACAGGAAACTGGCTGATACTCCAGTAGTGCGCGCGGAGGAAGGTGGGACTCATGTTTGTTTATTCATTTACCAAGTCTAAGGGGAATTTCATACTGCTGCTTCAGAATGCAGACAAAGGTCACTCCTTTCACTTCTAGCAAATACTCTCCACCACGTGATCCATTCATTAGCTTTATTAGATTAAACTGAGTTTCAACAGAGTTGTAATTGTTTGTTTTCTAGAAAAACTACAATATGTGTATGGCCTGTTGTAAGGCATTACTGTGGCTCATTGAAAGCATCTTTCTCCCTTTCTTTCCTTTCAACAAATCTAGTCATTGTTTTGTTGCTTCCTGGAAACTGATTGAGTTTAATTCCTTCAGCCAGAGATGCCAGACAACCAATTATGTCTACATTTACTGACCAACGCACGTTTCTAAAATGTAATTGCCTGAATAGGCTATATCTATACACAGTATTAGAATGCCTGGTTGTATAATCTTTGAATTGGGTTTTCTTAAGATGTATTTTTGGTTCAGATTTCTGACTGTTACTCTAATGATCCATTCAGCATTAATAACAAACAAACCTTTTGGTTACCATGGTTATGAGGGCTGAATCTTTAGTCACTCATGTGTCCTTTGATAAGAAAGTTCTGAAGGAGGAGGGGCCCATTTAAGATAAGACCAACTGTGGACTTTGCATCAGCCATTTATGATCCTGAATTACTGTGTCTGAGACTTTTAAGTATTGCTGAAATTAACACTTTCATCGTTAAATGTCTATTGAACTATTGGCTACAGTTTTCTGCAAAGAGTAAGCTGATTTATTTCTTACACACAGAAGAGCATATGTGGGAATCACTTTGCTTTTGTTGGAATAACAGGATATTAGTTTAATTTGTAAAAACTACATTTGCTCTGAAGAAGAGGAACAGGAGAAAAAAAAACATTGCAGACATACTGTGCCATTTCTGTTAGACATAAGATTGCCTGCCTGACACTAAATGAAAATAAAGAAAATCATGAGCACTTGGAAAGAAAATAAAGACATGAGGCATGTTTGCTACAGTTGCAGCTCTCTTCAGCTTTACATATATTTCCAAAAGACTGCATATACATCAGCAAACTCCACTGTACAGAAAACATCCAAAATGTTCATAATCATAGATACAATATACCACAAAGCTGGCCTGGCGATACCAAACAAGTTTATTTAGCACTAGAAAAGCTCTTGACCCCTGTGTATCAGTGTAATAGCCTATAGTGTTTTTTTAACTGATATCTTACAGTACATTTGCGCGATTCATAACCATCTTAACCTGTACAACATTCACCATTTACAGAAGTTATACAAGAATCATAATTTGAAGCATGGGCCTAAATATAACATGAATGTGGGACGGTTAAACATTGTTAACTTTACCGTTCAAAGGCTTTGTAGTTTGTAGTTTATCAAATAGTATCACTATAAATGCAGTCCACAAATAATAGGGCAAAATCTTAAGTTTGGTTTGATAGCCATTTCTAGAATTATGTTTTTTGTTTGTTTGTTTGTTTTTTGCTAGAATTATTTCTGTAACTTTAACGTCATGTTCAATATTTTGACATAAATGTGAACATTGATAAAGTTTAATGAGCACCAAAGTGATTTTCTTTAAAATTCATTAACATGACAGCAACTACACGTTTTAATAAAATTTTAGAGGGGTGAAAGCAAATTCGCTAATAAATTAAAATAAAAGAAATAATATAAAAATATTTTGGGGATATTTGATATAATTGTGGACAACTGCAGTAATAAACATGCCAAACAGGCTGCTGTTCTCAGTGCTTCACAAAATAAAGTAAAGCGACCAGCATATCAGTCTAGTTAAATCCTTCATTAAACTTATATTAAAAATACAATAATATATATGAAGGGTTTATTTGCAAAAACAGATAACTGTTTTTTTTTTATTTTCAAAAATCATGTTTTTTATTATGTTATCATGTTTTTATTGTGTTTTATTGTGTTAGTTAGCTGTTTTTTTGTTAGTTTTTTTTTTTTAGCTTAATCAAAATAACCCAACTGCAATTTGATTGAGATGAATTGGAATGCACAATGAAAAAAGCATGATTCCTGAGAATTGTCAAAAACAGTTATCTGTTTTTGCAAATGAACTCATATGTATATGTATGTGTGTATATAATATCCAGAGTAAGACATAAAGCTTAACTTTTTTAGCCAGTGGTGAGCATTGTTGTGACTAGAACATTGAAAACCAACTAAAATAAGCTCTTGGAGTCATGTCTGTTTGAAAGCGAAGGTTAATGAAGTAGATGACTTGGAAAAGGAGGACATAACTTTTTTTCTGCACTTCTGACAGCATTTTTCCACATAGCTCTTTTCCTTTTATCAGACCTTAATTACAACTATCACTGCTCATCGGTCCGTGTTTCCCACCGCACAGTGGAATTTGGTCAGAGGAGATAAGAGAGGATTCATTTTACAGAGGTTTCTTAGAGCTCTTCCTTTTCAGATGCATTTCAAAAGAAAGCTATAAGTGTTAACAAAAGGGACGTGCTGCCATTTGCATGGCTTAAGTAAACGCTTCTTCTGGTCAATAAAAAGACTCAGGCCTGCCGCTCTCTATAAAAGGCATGATACCGTCCTGCTCTCTGCCCCGATGACTCAAACGCTCACAGGAACAGAGTAATGCATTTGAGCGAGTGGGTCATGCTTAGGTTTTTTTTTTAAGGAAAAAATCGTTATTCATTTTCACAATTACCTAAACGAGATTCTTTCCTAATGCGCAATAATCTGCCATAGCTGAAAACAATTTTAAAATCTTAATATTACCATATATTATTCAGAATTATTCCTCAACCGATCCCATTAAGATGGCAAAATGACAATAAAACAACAGTGGAGATAAAAGAACGTGCTGAGCCACGATCACAATGTGTGATGAGCAAAAAAGGCAGTTTGCAGGATTGTATTTCCCTCTCTTCCCTTCTCTAAACATCATATAGTGCAAAAAAAGCGCACGTCAGTAGTAACATGCAGAAGGGATATAAATACTTTGCAACTCTGGAACACTAGTGGAAAAAAAATAGGAAAAGATTAAAGGGATAGTTCAGCCAAAAAAAAAAAATCTCATCATGAGTTTCTTTTTTTCCTGCAGAAAACAAAAGATATTTTGACAGTTTCGCTTTCCATTGTATTTTTTGCATAGGCTAAATCACAACAATCCCGTGCTACGGGCACAGCCATTGATACAGGCTGCAGCGGAAGTTTTTTTTACACTACTATTTGAAACTTCCACTTTTCGAACGCGGAAGTGTGATAAAGGCCTATACTTACTGCCAGAAACACACAAGGTTTACATTGGTCCAGGTGATATGTGAAAATAATGTTCACTTTTTCATAAAAGCATGACACTTGGTACACTTATATAGTTTGCGGCCCTAAACATTTTCAGAAATGGAGCCATCGTGGTTGCCATGGCGACCATTTTACTTTCTGCCATAACCAAGTCATGTATTTTGTGTCATAGCTCCTGAACCAAACATGATAACACAGAAAAAGGTGATGTCTACACCTATGTTTTGATGGTCAAGGATTACAATGATACCATATACAGCAACATAAACTGTGAAATCAGCTATGTGAGAAGGAAATCACAGTATCTGAGTATCACAGTATCACAGCATTAATAGTACATATTATGGCTATAAATTTTTTCTCTTTGATAATTAACTAATATTTAAAGGGGTCCTATTATGCCTTTTCACTTTTTTACTTTTAGTCAGTGTGTAGTGTGTATGTTTGGGCATAAAAAAGATCCAGAAAGTTACAAATCTCAAAGTCCACTCCAAAGGGAGATATTTCGTTTTTTAAAAATCCCTTTTCAAGAACTACAACGAACGTTTGGACTACAGCGTTTGTTTTCCGGGCTTTGTGACATCACAAAGCGGCTCATTGGAATATCATTACAAATAATTCCCGCCTACAGAAATTTGAATGGTTGGGGGGTGGGGAGGGGCGAGGTTGTGGTTAGAACGCTTGGTTGAGTGAGTGCATCAGACGAGACGACGAAGAAGAAATGCTGCTGCAGAGCCTACACTCATAGAAAATAAAGTATTTGAATTTTAAAGACATGGCGCGACACAACGCTGCGCTTCTCGTCCGGTGTGCGACCGCCTGAAACGCTGTTTTTTTTTTTTTCACCTCCATGCCCAAACGTCTTTGTTTGGGCTTCCGAAAGCGGATGATGTCAGGAAACAGTGGTTGCAATTTATTTTTTAACTCTGTTCCTGAGCATTATAACCCCAATTT